AAGGGACCTTGGAGGTCATCTAGTCCAACCCCCTGCTCAGGCAGGAAACTCTCTACCATTTCAGATAAATGGCTGTTCATTCACCATGGCAGCAGCAACACATCAGTTTGATCAAACCAGAACTGGAAGGGACCTCGGAGGTCTTCTAGTCCAACCCCCTGCTCAAGCAGGAGACCCTCTACCATTTTTGACAAATGGTTGTTTAGCCTCTTCTTAAGTGTTGGAGCAACCCACAACTTCTGGAGGCAGGTTGTTCCACTGGTTAATTGTTCTAACTGTCAGGAAGTTTCTCCTTAGTTCCTGGTTGCTTCTCTCCTTGATGAGTTTCCATCCGTTGCTTCTTGTCCTGCCTTCAGGCGCTTTGGAGAATAGGTGGACCGCCCCCTCTTTGTGGCCACCCCTCAAATATTGGAAGACTGCTATCATGTCGCCCCTAGTTTTTCTTTTCACTAGACTAGATTAGACTAGACTAGAGCTGGAAGGGACCTTAGAGATCTTCTAATCCAGCCCCCTGCTCAACAGGAGAACTATACCATCTCAGACAGGTGACTGTCCAGTCTCTTCTTAAAAACCTCCAGTGATGGAGCACTCACGATTTCTGGTGGCAAGCTGTTCCACTGGTTAATTGACCTCACTGTAGACTAGACTAGACACACCCAATTCATGCATGGATGGAAACTAATCAAGCAGAGAAACAACCTAGAACTAAGGAGAAATTTCCTGACAGTGAGAACAATTAACCAGTGGAACAACCTGCCTCCAGGAATTGTGGATGCTCCAACACTGGAAGTTTTTAAGAAGGGATTGGACAGCCATTGGTCTGAAACAGGAGTAGGGTTTCCTGCCTGAGCAGGGGGTTGGACTAGAAGACCTCCAAGGTCCCTTCCAAGTAACACTAGAATATTATTCTGCTATTCTTTTTTCCTTCCTTCCTTCCTTCCTTCCTTCCTTCCTTCCTTCCTTCCTTCCTTCCTTCCTTCCTTCCTTCCTTCCTTCCTCCCTCCCTCATCACTGGAGGTTTTTAAGAAGAGATTGGACAGCCATTTATCTGAAATGGGTATAGGATTTCCTGCCTGAGCAGGAGGTTGGACTAGAAGACCTCCAAGGTCCCTTCCAACTCCGTTATTCTGTATTCATATATTTTAGCCGCCAGCCCCCTGATCCTCTTTGTGGCTCTTCTCTGCACTCTTTCCAGAGTCTCAACATCTTTTTTTGGTATATTGGGGTGACCAAAACCGGATGCCGTATTATTCCAAGCTTGGCCTTACTGTTTGTTCGGAGGCCACCTGGATACTCTGCCACTACGGTGCCACTCTGCCACCCCCACCGTAAGGCACTGCTTCCAGGGAATAAAAGTTCCACGGTCCTTTCCCAGCCTTGTCTCAAGGCCAGCCGCTTGGGAAACGGAGTGCACGGCTGCATTCCTCAAAGGACGGTTCCCAAAACAATTCTTCTAAATTGGATTGGACTTGTGAGGGACCAGCTGTGGGAGGGCAAAGTTGCACTAGGCGTTTCGGGCGCGGGAATTTCAGTTCTGTGGAATCCCTTGACTTCGAGTGAATTCTACAGAAGAGAGCTGAGTTGGGACGGGAGGTCCCCTGGAGGTCCTCTAGTCCAACCCTCCGCTCTCAGGCACCAAGGGTGTCTGATTCTCAACCGAAGGGGTGTGTGTGTGTGAAGGATCGCCCTTCCTTAGGAGCCCAGAGTTTGAGGCAGGACTGACCGCGTTGCTGTTCCTTCAGCAAACCATGGCTTAGCACCAAAAAGCATGACCCGCTCTCATCATACAAGCCAGACTGGACAATTTGGGGGACGGTTTTCGGCAACCGACAAAGAGAGCCATGTCGCTTGCTCGCATCAAGTGGTGTCTCGGTTAAGTAACTCTTTGTCTCTGGTTTTTGAGTTTTAGCAAGGAGCCCGGTTGTGCTCACGGTCCAGGTGATTAGATTGTGTGGGTGTGTGGGTGTGAGAGAGGTGATTAGAAGCCAGGGGGTGTGAGTGTAAAGCTGGTTTTTTTGCCTTGCCTGTCTCCAAGGTCAAGAGAAGGCCAGAACGGGGAGGACGACGGCAAGGGAAATGTGAAAATTGTTGTGTGTGTGTGTTTGTGTGTTTGTGGACGTGGGTGGGCGAGTGAAGGACCCGTCCTTGGAAAAGGCTAAACCACAAAGGAGGATCAGCCAAGTGATCTAATTATGGTAGACTTTGGGGGGGGGGAGCGTTCAGGCTTCCGTGCTTTGCAAATGCTGGATAGACCATCACACGCCAGGAAAGGAATAATTAGATTTCTGATTCTGGGTTTTCGTAAAATATTCCTAAGGTGGAGGAAAACTCTTGTTGAATCTCTCTCTTTCTGTGTCCATCTCTCTCTCTCTCTCTCATTTTTTCAACATATTTTCAACTTATTTATTATGTATCTCTTTTATTGTTAATTTTTATTTCTTTTATTCCTTTTATTTGTTGTCTGTTATCTATTTTGTTTATCTAATTTATTATCTATTTCATTGATTTTTATTTTATTTATTTTATTTATTGTCTATTATCTATTTATCTAATTTATTATCTATTTCATTGATTTTTATTTTATTTATTTTATTTATTGTCTATTATCTATTTTATTTATCTAATTTATTATCTATTTCATTGATTTTTATTTTATTTATTTTATTGTCTATTCTATTTTATTTATCTAATTTATTATCTATTTCATTGATTTTTATTTTATTTATTTTATTTATTGTCTATTATTTATTTTATTTATCTAATTATCTATTTCATTGATTTTTATTTTATTTATTGTCTATTATCTATTTTATTTATCTAATTTATTATCTATTTCATTGATTTTTATTTTATTTATTTTATTTATTGTCTATTATCTATTTTATTTATCTAATTTATTATCTATTTCATTGCTCATTTTTATTTTATTTATTGTCTATTATCTATTTTATTTATCTAATTTATTATCTATTTCATTGCTCATTTTTATTTTATTTACTTTATTCCTTTTATTTTATTTATTGCCTACTATCTTTATTAAATCTATTTTATTATCTATTTTATTTATTAATTTTATTATTTATTTTGTTCATTGTTTTATGTTATTCATTGTTTTATTTATTTTATTCTTTATTATCTATTCATTTTATTTGTAAAATAAAAAAAATATTTATAAAAAGTTGAAAAATAAATGGATTTATATATATATATATATATATATATATATATATATATATATATATATATATATAT